ATGATCCCAAGCACAGGTGTCGTCTGGTCCAAGACTGGCTTGGGGAGCAGGAGTACGCGGTGCTGGAATGGCCGTCGTGCTCCCCGGACCTTAACCCAATTGAGCACCTGTGGGCATACTTGAAAAGGCAGCTGGGGAAGTACGAAAAGCCGCCAAGGGGAATGCTGGAGCTGTGGGAGAGGGTGCAGGAGGAATGGGACAAGATACCGCCGGAGGTGTGTGCAAACCTGATCGACAGCCTGCCGAGGAGGATCAAGGCAGTGATTCGGGCAAAGGGACGCTGGACTAGGTACTAGTTTTCCTAGAATCTAGTGTGATACCATTTTCCGGTACAAATTGTCCACATGTTCTCCCATGCTATGCTTAGGAGTTTAAGGACCATGTGTGGTACTACTTTGGTGTTTGAACACTGGAGTGACTGCTCTAACTGAACTTCTCAGCGTTAATGCACACCGTACATTAAGGCTTAATGTATACGCCTCTGCACTCATAAAAATGCCAAAAAAGGCAAAACATGTGGACAATTTAATCCGCCACTGTATCTAAGTCGTCTTACTCTCGGGCGACCGGCCTTCTTCGGGTACAAGGGTGGCAAGACATTGCGATCCCGAACGACCCAGGTAGGATCGACAGTCTTGATGCGAACCTGGTAGATCTCCTTCAATGCTGCTGCTGTGTAGTACTTGTGAATGGTGGAGTACACCTTTTGAACCTCTTCAAGGTGCAGGAAACCAGCAAAGATATGAACACATGGCAGCCCGTACTCCCTGCTCATAGGCAAGGATGGATAGAGTAAGCAAAAAGGTGGGGGGGAGGGGGAGAATGTTGGCAGGGGAGAGAATTTGGTCGGGCAGAAAGGGGGACACAATAGAAGTCATATGCATAAGGTAGGGTAATATAACAATGGTGTTGGGCTAAAAAGATTAATGAGGTCATTCACATGAAGACGGGCGATGTATGCATGCAATAAAAACATACCGGGTGTAGGTACAGGAGCATGTTGTCCTCTCGGGCTGTGAAGGGTCTACCTCCACAGTTCGCTCCTCCTCAGTTGTGGTCATGAACACGACATATTCGTCATCTCCTGTCTCTTCCACTGTGTAAGATGACCCCCCCTGCTTGTTTGCTTCCACAATAGCAGCGGTTTTCCCTGGCAGCTCGTCCGCCGGCATGTCACGATACAGTTTGTAGTTGCTTTGCCTGCTGATTGCCAGCCGGTGAATCTTGACAAAAAGCTGTTGGCATGGATTTTTCCGCCTGATTCCATGCAGCGACGCGTGCAGTGACTCTACTGGGTTAGATGAGTAGCACCCATAACGTGGGGCTGCAAATGAAGTTGTCGCCCAATTTCCGAATCCCGCCGTTGCCAGAAAAGCTTTGATACCATGACAATCAGCCTCAATCTGATCCATCACTCCATCAAAGACTACCGGCGTCAGGGCAGCAGCGGCGTCCTCTATTTTACCATCTAGACCAGAACCAAACTTACCATTGACGTTTCGCACAAGGTGGGTAATGCAGTAGGATGCTCTAATTCTCGGTAATCTCTCGCCTGCAGCTGCCTTCCAACCTTCTGCCCGATCATGGAAAAACACGTATTGTGGTGTGTCGAACTCTGGCACAGCCTCTACCAACGTGTTCAGAATGAACGAACAAGCTTCCTTTGAATCTCCCTCGACCCATGCACAACCAACCGTGAAAACCTTGTGTTGACTGTCTATGAAACAGAGGTTAAGCATCTGCCCACCCCATTTTGTCTTGTTGTGACATCCATCCCCAAATAGTACAGGGAAATAGTTCTTGATTGAAACGGTGAGACGGCGGGTGGTAAAAGTGCCAGTCAGACGCATCAAAAATGAAACCGGATTTCCGATATTTCATAAAAGCCCTTATGAAATATCTGATGACCGTAGTCCTTGAAAAACAACAACGTTTCTTGATGCCCGGGGGCCATTAGGCGGCTGAAACGTGAGCGCATGAATCCAAGGCGGGTGTGCACGTACAGGGGCGAAATTGGGAAGAGCGCGGAAATGACTGGGAGTTGGATCAAATCGAGAAATTCAGGGGTGGGGGAAACCGAGATTGTGTGGGCAGCAGGAATCGACGTGGCATCGAGGGGGAGGGAGAGGGGGTGAGGAGGAGATCGACATGGCATGGGTGGGGAAGGGGAATCCAGCCCTCACAAAGCCTCCCCGCTAGCACGCGTCCGTCCCTACCAAAATTCGGTGAAGGGTCGACTTTGGCCTCACACTGACAACACATTTGGATCGGAGCCCTCAACTTGGTGAAGGGCCAATCAGCGCCCTCACATGGCCTCCAGCACACATCATGTGGTGGTTCTGGTGAAGGGCCACTCAGCCCCCTCACACAGCCTCGAGCACGGACCAGACGGTGATTTTGATGAAGGGCCAATCACCGCCCTCACACAGCAGAGAGGGGGGTTCTTTGTCGGATTTCGGCGTGATGGGGGAAATTTACCAAATCTGCGAGGGATCACATG